GACGATCTATGATGTCTTTGGATCCGTCTAGGCTCCAGGTTTGAATCTGAGCAGGCTGCTGAATGGGAGACTCTTTTTGCACCCATGTGATGTCCCTGCTTTTCAGGACAGCGCACGGAGCTTCTAGGCGATCCTCAAGGCGGAGCATAAACCTGCCACATCACACAAGACAAAACCCTACCCCAACTTGTCTTCATGCCCGGTATCCGAAGCCTACTTGGTCTACTGTAAGCTACGCTGATGAGCCGGCTTCGTCGCCAAGTCTGGCGACTTTCAAGCTTTCCCGTCTTGCCTGCTCCACGAGCAAGCCAAGCCCGGCTGCTGCCCCATCGTGGAGTACCCAAGCATCCTGCTTTTGCACTGCTAGCGCTAGTTTCTGAGAAATCGAAGCTTCCGTCGAGGACCGAGGCCATGCACACGGCCAAGGATTGAGACCGCGCTTGTGGAGAAAAGCAACGCGCCCGAAATGCTTCATTTCTGCGTCAGCTTCAGCCGACGGCTGAGGGCGCGACGCAACAAAAACGCCTTTTCCGTTGTGCTCTGCAAGGTCCAACTCTCACTCACTCACTGACTCACTGACTCACTCACTCGCCTGCCCAGCCCCCGAAAAAGGGCCATGGACACAGGGCAGCAACAAACGCTCACAAAACCATTGTGTCTAAAGAAAAGCCAGCCTCACTCACCCACGCTCGTTTTTTCGTCTGCACCACTAAATACAGAAAGCCATAACGGAAAAATACGGAGAACTGAAAGGCATTCACAACAAAAAAAGGGTATTCCGTCGAGGCAGTAGATGGACGGCTGCAGGTCAACAGCTTCTCACCTCCTCCGGTGCGTCCGTCGGGTTGGGCCAACTGGCCTGTGGGCGAGAATGCTGTTGGTAGAGCTCAGCTTGCAAACAGGTCCGACTGTTCCCGATCTTACATCAGTCTAGCTTCGGCTTCGACTACAATGACTACAAGCAATAATCGGCAAGCCCGAAATCCCCAGTTCCAAATGGAAATCTTCAGGCAGTCCATCCAGGAAATCTTCCTGCAGAAGGCTTCCGGCGCCCAGAGTTCAGAAAATCCCTGAGTCTGCCCCACCTTCGCAAGCCGAAGCCATGGGCCTTGCGTGTCGCCCGGCACCTGCATCCCAAATTCCAGACGATCCATATATACATATCTACGTATGCATGTATGCACAAGACATGACAAAAAAGCAGGTGCCAAAGCGCTAGGTCATGGGCGGCGAGCAGCTCGTCTCCTGCGTAGAAGAGGTCCACAATAGGAGCCTGGCTGTCACGAAATGAACACTAAGCCTGAACGTCGCCCGAGCATGGCTAGGCGAACATCCTTTCTCTACTACGCTTCCGCAATCTTCCGCATTGTCTCATACCCCGTGTGCACAGCAACCCAAATCTGGAATGCATGTGCCTGCGGGTCGGGTGCAGCACGCACCTGGGAAGCTTCGAGATGATGCGCAGATCAGAATGCTTGCTTCTGAACCTCCAGCGCTGTTCCCCCGGGCTCCTGCAAGCCAACCCCTGATTCCTCCAGTTCCGGGATCACCAGCATCCGAAATAGTGAACCGAGCTCCGAGGGTAAGGCCGCAATCCTCGGCTTGTAGGTGACGCGCCACACGGCGAGGCCATGGTCCTTCTGATGAACGATGGAAATACATGTAGAAAGATCAATGTGCTGCCCATGTATAGAAGTACAAGGTCAGCCATTCTCAATTGAGACAAAGGACTCCATGTCAGGTTTGCTGGTCGAGTCGCGCAAGGAAGCCAACGACTTGTGTCCAAGGGTTGGAAGCTCTGAGTCAGGGAGAAAGGGAACCGTAGAGCTCGGGATAAACAGGAAGCGTCCTTGGCAATTCGCCTTGCGCGAGAGAGGTCTTCTCGCCGGCTGAGCCTCAAGCCACGTTTCTTCAGGAGAATTCCAGGCAGGCCCCTTTCTACTTGGAGCGGACAAAATCTTTGGGCAAAGCACTGAGCCTCGGGCAGGGGGTGCTCTTTGGGCTGCAACGAGGGCGTCTTGAAGAACTCCGGCGGCCACTCTACAAGCGTCCACGCCTTCCGGTCCAAATCAACCCTCTGCTGTGGAACGACATGTCCATGCAGGGTGCTGCATTGTGCTGACACCAACACAACAGACCTCTGTTCTCTCATGCCGGCGCTTATAAACACGTGTCAGTGCTCGAAGTTTCACAGGATCGGCAGTGTGTCATTGGGGCCACCACGGCCGAGAAGAAGGGCTCGCCCTCAGTGAGTGCACCAATTCATCAATGTTCGCTGTCCGAACTTCCTACGGCGAAGGTCTTGCATGCAAGGTTGACATTTAAATGATGCAGTCCGCCCCACATGGACTCGCGTTTTTTGCCGTGTCTGCCCCGGACAAGGCAGACGTCTGCAAGCACTGCTCAACATCGATGCTCTTGCATGCTCGGCTTCCTAAGAAGAGAGCCACGTGCAAGCCACCCGCGCAGGCGATGCTTATCACGCGCGACTGGTCGCCTGAGTGGAGGCATGGAAAGAGTCCATCGACAAAGCCCGACACGGCCAAAATCAACCCACTGTAACCTGACAGGCCTAGCGTGCTGTAAACCAGGGCTTGCTGAACAGGATCGAAGGGCCCGCCGGAACACTATGGCGTTACAATCCTGGCAGCTCGTCTTTTGGTCATGTCACGCTGCCCTAGAACGGGGTCCCGGTACTCACTCAATGTCGGAAGACATCTCCACTGCTCCATCGGGAGAAGATACAACTTTAGCGTCGGTTATGGTTTGACCGCCAGTTCTCTGCCTTCGACAATGCCGTTTCAAAGCGGGTGATGTGCTTAGAGAGGCGGGGCCACAACAGGGGCTGGGCAGCTGTCAGTGGTCATGATCACACTTCTTGTCGCCACTTTCGCTCTGGCTTTGCAATAACAACACTCAGGGGCCTTTGAAGAGCTTCGATTCAGCTTTCGTTTGCCGCCACTTCTTGAAGAGACTGCGAAGTTTGGATGGGACTGCCAGGGGAAGAAGACAAGCCCCTTTTGCCATTGATACAGAATCTGCCGTTAGCCCTGGAACGCGAGCCAATCTGGACTGTGGTACAATGTCGCATTTTCACATGAGACCGGGACAAACGGGTCGTGTGTCGCAGTTGACGCAAGGTGGGACCTGCCCTGCTACGTTCCTTCCACCCTAATCCTAGATCCGCTGATTGAACCCGGCAGTCTGTGTTGAAGTGCTCAGGAGTCTTCTCTACACGGTGCGCTACTCTGGCTGAGACCACAGGATCAAGACCACCGGACCATAGACATCCTAGTATTCTAACCGACTTGGGTCCAAGCTGTCGAGGCCACCCTCCAAACCTCCCATGGTCTCCGTCTCCTGTGCATGCCGGATAAGGCCATCAGCTTCCGAAAGACACTTTGATGACTGGGATTTTCAGTTGCGGAACTTGAACCGAGGAACCCAGATCTGCGCTCCACAAATCAACGAACTGCAGGATTGGAGAGCTATGAAGCAGACTGGAACGGACCCATCGCATGCCATGGGATGCCCTGCCTGTGGTGCTTCCAGATCACCCTGGAAGGGGCTCCTAATCGGAGCCAAGCAGGAAATTTCAGACTGCAGGCGTGTCTCTGCTCCCAAGGCCGTGGCACCAGCACTCCTTTCGGAAGCTCTGCATGCAAGGCATCTGCCAGGTCGCGTAATGTGAGGGGACTGCTTCTCACCAGCTGGTACAGTAGCTGGTCTCCTGTGCCTGGGCCCTCTGCTAGTCGTGCCAACAGGCCATCCTTGCATAGCGCACGACCTCAACAGCCACCAACCAGAATCCGCTGCATGCAGCAACGTCTTGGAACCCTTTCCGAACCATACCGGAGCCCTGATGTGTTGCAGCCCGCCTTTCTACAAGTCGCCTTCCGACTGTCGAATTCGCGGGCTGTCGAGCTGCACTCACCCTCTGAGCCCAACATGCCTGGGCGCCAAGGCTCGCCAGGCGACTGCAGTCGCCGGAGCAGCCATTCCAATGCCTCGGACGGTTGAAGGAATCAACATGCGGGGAGGCTGTGCTGGGCGACTCAATCCACAAGCCACCTTTATGCCACGTCTTGTTATCCTGTCAGCCGAGCCCGTGGACGTGTCGCACTGGACGAAGACATGGCAGTTCGAAGCACCTCAGCTAGCTGGAGGAGCCGCCTTACATAAGACGACACAAGATTTCCTTGTTGCGGGTCCTGATGGAGCAAAGGACCGAAACCTTTTCGGATGTGTGGGATGATGCAGTGGCCGAGGATGCCACGTCCTCCTTTTGCCGATGCCTGCAGCACAGTGGAAGCAACATGACATGATCACATAACAAAGTCGCGACACAAGCTGCGTTGCCTCGGAATAGTCGGCCAGGTGCCCGAAGACTAGGATCTCACAAGGCTGTGCCCGCCTCATCTGCGCCTGTCTTTTCTCAAGTCTTTGAAGGCTCAGTGCAAGGTTTTTCCGGTTGCTCGACGCAATCGCAGCTATTCATGGCCGTGCTTTGTTCAGGGAATATGAAGAGTAAGTACAGTCAGCTCAGCTGAACGGTGACTCTGCAGGCAGGCAAATCAAGCAAGTTGCACACTGGCGCGCTGCCAGTCTGCGAATTCTCGGAGGGCACGCCGCGTTGGCAAGCCTCATGCATCTGAGGCTTGTCCCACGGCGATCGAAGCAGTGTGGCTTTGCTTTGTTTTTTGCTTTCATTTTCATCGATACCGTCTGCGTTGCCAACACATGCGAGGCAGGTCGACCAACCCGTCTCAGGCAGGCACTAGGCTGACGATAAGCAATGTCCTGTGCTGATCGCTTCCGCTCGCTTCATGGTTCAAGCACTGCACCATTCTAATGCTGCTCGCAGTCACAGACACGGACGGACACACACACACACACATCAACACCAAATGAAAAAACGGGCGTGTGTCTTCATCAGCAAGTCATCGAGACACATGCAAGCAAAAGGCCGTGTCCAACATAGCTGAATCTTGGGATCCGACAATCAGGCATATCTGTGCAATCTCCACGCCTGCCTGGACCACACGCTAGCAACCGCTACTGACACCTCTTGCCAGGTCCGAAAACGCGATCTGAACCTTATCCCACTTGAAGAGCATGCAAGGTACACAAAGCGTGCGCGCTGCCCGCGGCAAGCATCGTTGCTACTTGGGAGCGCTTAGCACTCGCAGCCGAGCACCTCCTCCCGGAGCCTTTCCAAGAGCTCCTGGAGGTCAAGCGTGCGGTTGGGAAACACTGTTCTATATGATATGCTGGACTGGAATGTATGCAGCTTCCCAATGCAGTAAGCGCGTCTCAGCGGACCAAGCATAGTTTCCCACAATGTGTGAGCTGTTGCATGCTGCAACTACAGCATGAGCAGCCAAGAGCAGCATCCACATCCCGGAAAGCGTAACATGCAAGGGTGGTCCAGATCAAAAAGGAGTTCGCCACAACCCAGGGATGCGTAGTGCAGGCCTGCAGATGCGAAAGTAACTACTTGCATCATTCGAAAGAGTAGCTCCCAAAAGAACTCAACAGGCTGCCGGCCTTCTGGACCCCACCACTCCGTCTTTGTACGGACCTCATCACCGCTTTTGGCATGCAGTGGCCGAGACATTGAACATCTAAAAATCTTCTCCCCGAACGAAGTGCTTCCTCAACCGAGGCTCGCACTGCGTCCCGTACGCTCGCGACCTCCGAACGTCTTTCGTGCGCAGAGCAATTTGGATTGCTGTAGCCTTTAGCGTCTCGATTGATACCGCATCTTGTAAGGCTCTTCAAGAGACGTACAACAAGACTTGTCCTGTTGGGAGTTGAGGGCACTGAGGGCACGAAGCTTGCAGTTTCAGCCAGCATTCCAGCTACATGTCGAAAGGATCGGATCCGATTTTCCCTAGGCTCTGGCTACGAAGTCCCGGAAGCCGGTGCGAACCTGGCGAATACATGCATTCTGTGCCATTCTGTGCTGCGATCAAGACGAGACACACAGCCAAACCTGCAAGACGCTCCAAGTCGTCATTGCAGTTGCGACGGCAAAAGGCGCTGTACGACGGCTGTGGTGCCTCCGGGTATCGGAGGCGATGGGCCATGCAGTTCGAATGGCCACACCTCAGCAACGAAGGACGATGACTTTTCACTGTCACCAGACGGTGACAAGTAGCGCTCAAGTAGGCAACTGAATGGCCAACTTAGGACTACACGCACCGGTCAACAGGGCTAGACAGACATAGATTCCGATGAAGAGCACAGCACGAACCGGACCAGATCTGTCATCGTGCCAGGCCAGACACCCACTGTGCCTGTGACTTGTCGTGTCGTTCTCTAGCCTCTAGCATGTCTAAACACAGGACAGACGCGGAGAGCTTCGCGCATCGAGGTTTCCAATGTGTGCATAAACGCACCATGCCGACCAGGAAAGCACCCCCAGGTATACAGCTATACCCGAAGATCAGCAGTGATCAGCAAGACAGCCCTGTGCCCCAAGCTCACCCAGTCCACCGAAGGGCGTCATCGGCCCAACGTGTCGGATGACCTGCCGAACAGCGCCGAGATGCGCCGAGTGCCGAGTGTAAGAGCCCCGAGAAGAGTGCAGTGGCAGCGGCGGGGTCTGTCGCAAGTCTTCGAGGAGCCGGCCCCGCCACAGTCGGCAAGCTCCATGGCGACCTTGCCAACCTCAGAGAAGCCGGGAACCAGCTGGATGTTTCACGCCGCACAGAAGCAACAGGAGGCCCGGCGAGCTGGTGCATTGCGATTCGAACCTGGCACAATAAGCACTGCTGCTTGACATATCCACGCAAATCTACCGTTTCCTTGCCAGGAAGCCGAATGAAACTGCAGAAACTCGTTAAATGGTTAGCGCACTCAGCACACCCATACACGTGTTGCATGCCTGGGTTCCGACCCTATTTTTGCTCAAGTCGTTGGTCTTCATTGGGTTTTCGTGGCAATGTCTCAGCGGCCTATCGGGCCAAGCAAGTGCCGACACCGCATTCGCCCTTCTTGCTCTCGCCAACGGTCGCGTCTAGTCGGCAGCCACAGCCGAAGTACTACCAAGTTACCACGAACCATCTACCGTGCTCACCTTGTCCCGACTTCCACAGATCTTGGCCACGCGGGCTGCCTTTCCGCGGCAGAAGCGGAAGGGCCTGTGCAGGTGAAACATGAAATAAAGCTCAAGGGTGTTCTAAGAAAAAGCCCGGTTTCTGACTGGAGCATTTCCGGAGCCGTCGGTTCAGCAGTTGGAATCTGAAAAGGTGCAATATGGCTTAGGTGCCAGAGTGTCAATGACCTTGGATAGCAGTGAGCTCCATGACTGCAGTGCAGATAAAGTCTGAGACTGGACCACCTGAACTCCTCTTTTGTGGATTCGGGTCTCTTCAGATACAGTATAGCTTTTTTTGAAGCAGGGCTTTAAAGCTATGCCTGCCCTCCAGGTGTTGATTGCTAGATCCTTCTGTTCCAAGACCTGCAGCTGGCGCGTCTCGCCCTATGCCCGCCTGCCCTCACCGGAGAAGTCAAAGTCAGCATCTGCACCGTCCTGACGGAAACCGCACAAGGTAATTCTCATGGAGGTCGTAGTGTCGCAGATGCGACAGCCCAAAGGTCGAAAGTGCGTGCCGTGTTGCCACCACATTTTAGCGTGAGACTGCGAATCGCTCACGACTACCATGGAACAACGAACACCCATGAACACCCCCTAGCCCGAGCAAACTCTGCGAGCAAGAAAGCCGAGGCCATGACTGGGATGTCTCGACCCGGCTGAGCTGCCTGGATGCATGGAAAGCCAACTGGAGAAGCTTTTGGCTGGTAAGATGCCAAGAAGCCGAGAAAGTACTAGCCGGGCACAACTGCACGAAGCCAAACGCCTACCAAGTATCCACGTCTCTCTTGCTCCTTCCCCCAGCCTGCAATTCCAAAAGCCTGCGGATTGACACGAATTGCTTCAAGTCTGTACTGAGATTGTAGCAGACCGGAAGTGATCCACGATCTCCACCTGCTGTGTCGAGCACCGAAGAACTTTCGGGTGCTGCTTGACACTACGAGCGTTAACATGCAATGGCACATGGCCCCATGTTGCATGCGGGCTGGGTTGACAAAAGGGGATGGTGCTACATACTTGGGATTCCCCCTGCGATATTTCCAAAATTGGGCACAGAACGGATTGGGGGATTCGACAAAAGGTGCTGATCAAAGCGAATCTCTTGAAGGGGCTGGACACCCAGCCTGTGACGCGACATACCTGTTATTGAGCTTCGAAGCATCAGAATCAACAAACGATGTGAACTCTTGACCCCGAGAAAGAAAAGTCGAGTCAAGGGTCTCCGAAAATGCACGTAGACTCTCTGCACCTTCTCCTCCACAGGCGGCAGTGTCCGATCGTAGTTCCATCCTGGAGCTGCTTCGGATGGCTTCCAGGAAAACTAAGGTCCGAACTCGCTCCATGAGCCTGTATTTTCCATTTCCAACCATTTTCTCGGGTGCGTCTTTTCTGGGGGGGGGGGGGGGGGGCCAAAGCTGGGCGGCGTAGCGAACGTCGGGAGAACTCTTGCTTTGCTTGGCTGGTCATTTCTCAGATCAACAGGCTCTACGGCCCCCGGCGATGCTTCGGATTCGAAAGCACGGCGAAAGCTTCGTTGAGTTGTACCTCGGTGACAGCTTCAGCTTCTGAACCATGTAGAGCGCTGCAACATCTTGTGATGCGGAACCGCAGCGATTGAGAGTTGGTTTCGTGAGTTGCCGGTCGCAGAAAACAACACCTACAACGTCGCTGGCGTGGTCGCAAGCTCAGAGTTCAGTAAGAGGTAGACATAATAAATGCCTAGTAGTGTTGGTATACGGGAATGAGCTATGCTACGGGGCCTACGCAAGTGAGCCACTGCAAGCCCATCTGCAAAGCTACGACTTCCGGAAACAAGGTCCGAAGCCAACACAGAGTTCAAGCAAAGTCCAGGCTGCCATGGACCGCTCCATCGCAGCGCGCGTGGCTCGATCAGCCTGCACGGCCTGTCAAGAGTCTTTGGAGGTGCTTCTTTTCGGCCTGTCGCAAGTAAGCATGGCAGCTGGTCCCAACCAATCGCAGGCACAATGCCCCTGAAGTTCAATGTGTGCTCTAGTGACTCTAGTGGCCCCCGTTCTTCTGCAAATTCATGTTGAGTAAGGACTCGTGGGCGACAGTAGCCAAGTCGCGATAGTCGATAGACTTGACATGAGAGCGCGTAGTCAGCCTTGTCTGGATGGTACCGGCTGGAAAGCACCTTGGTTGAGCTAGTTCAATCTTGCCTCAACCAGCAACCGTCTGGGACGTAAGCGTTGGGCCCTCGATCATGTGGACGCACTGCTTCTACTACGAGGGCGCGACCCAGCACGAGTAAACAGTGCTCTCCGAGGTGCCTACTCTATCAGCTTCCAACACAGGGGATTCAAGCTCAGGGAAGAATAGGAACCCGAGGCGGGAAACATCGCCTATGATGAGGGCATGCGCCATGTTTAGCAGCTTCTGTTCCGCCCCCGAGATCGCTTAAGCAAGACTCCTAAAAAACTTTCGAGAGTTCGAGCTTCACGGCTGTTGGTCTAGAGCCTACGTAGGATTTAGGGATTTACCATCAATGTGCATGTTCTGCAGAATGAGGCTTTTTGGTAGTCTGTCTTGCATGAGTTGCTAGGCCGTAAGCCGGCATGGAGCGTTCACGACAGTGCCACATGGGAGGTCCTATACCCTTCTCGGGAGAAGCCCCAAACTCCTCCAAGCTCGAAGCGAACTGAGTCTGTGGCCTTGTACGCCCGCTCGATGTCTTCCGGTGTGGCGTTCCTTGCCAGGCCAAGGACCTGCTTTCTGGCTTGCGGCAAGGGCTGCAAAGAACCAACTACTGCTGCATTACATTTTGGAGTCAGTACTACTCTCACCGGATATGCTTGTTTCTGGAGAACGCAAACATCCCTGGACGGCTGAGTGCTGAGCTGTGTAGTGGGTCATGGCTGGCCTTGGCCAAGACAAAATCCGATACGTCACCCGAAGCTAACTCTCAGAGCCTGGCTCATGCAGTAGCATCTTGTGTTTTCGGAGAAGTTCACGGCTGCGCTGCTCGTGCTCCTCGTGCTCCTGCCAGTTCAGGCGGCCGAACGTCGCAGGCACCGCAACTCCGGTTCCAAATGTGGGCCGACAGGTCCATCGAAGGATGATCTACTGCATTTTGCCTCATATTGCAACCACACCCCTCAGCCCAAAGTGTCCGAAAAATACAGCTAAGCCAACCTTTGCATTGCTTTCTGTCTCGTCAAGCCTTGTCTTGGGCTCTCAGCTGCTCTGCTTGTTGCAGGCGCTGCCGCCGCCTTGGCTTCCCAGTCGAGAGCAATGACGCATTGTCTCGTTGGAGGCATGGAGAGGCAGTTAAAACAGCAATTCAACAACAAAGAGCCCCGCAAACTGCCCAAAGCAACAGAAGGAAGTTGGGCGACCCGAAACCGTGTGCCACTAGTTCAGGCTGACGTAACCAAGCAGCTGTTCGGGAGTCTCGCGCCGCTTCCCTGTTCAAGAGGAGGCAATTTTCTTCAGACTCGCAAAGCCGCTACCTTGACGAGCCTTTCAAGACCATTTTCCGAGCTAGAATCCGACAGCGGAGAGGTTCGAATCCTGCCTCTGTCATCTGTGCCCTTCCAAGGCTCAGCCGACTCTTCTGCAACTTCATCCTGCTCAAGGTACAGCTGCGATGCTATGGCAATGTCGTTTCGGCCCAATGCAAGCCGCCCTGAGTGAATGGTTCCAAACGTGTCTCGAGTCCGAGCTTGACATGCTGAGGAATGCCAGGTGCCAGTATCGTGCCTGTTGAATAATATTGCAGGTCTTGTACGGGACGTCCTGCCTCATCTAGGTCGTCTAAATCATCTAGGCCTCAGTAAGGCTGGCGCTCCCCCCAAAAAGTTTTGAGCACGTTGAGCTCCACGCGATCTTCTGCCCGAAACTTCGACGGCGCCCGCTCGAGCAAAACCTGCTGCCATTGACAAGGGATACATGCTCTGCAGTCACTGTTCGATCTTTGCGCCTAGGGATTTGGTCATGTCGTTCAGCGTTATACCGAATTCAATGCCAATTCGGTGTATTTATTCGCCAAGACCCCGGCTGAAGAACTCTTGAATCCTTGAAGCCCACGAAGCCGCCACGAACCAAGTCAGATGAACAAAACAATGCTTGCCCAATGTCGAATGACGATTCTGCATGCTTTGGCGGGTTGGTTGCCACATATTGGCTTTTCGCTAGGCCCGCCTTCTTCCCTGCCACCTCCTTGGGCAGGAACCGGTCGCCGATCTGCCAAGTGACCCCAGACAGATGGGACCGTTGCAGACGCACCGCGAAAGACAGGTCGTGAACTCCAAACATTGTGCCCGACTACCCGATCATCGCCCTATCGACCTATGTGGTTCCAGTAGCAGCACTGCCAAGCGGGAGAGCGAGTCCTAATTGGAGAGGACGACCAACCCAATTTAAAACGAGAGCACCACGGCGTGTGGCCTGTA